ACCCTAAACCCTATGGGTTTCGGAACACGGGGGAAATGCGACGATCCAATTGGTTCCGGTGCTCCGGGAAGGTCAGGACTTCAGGCTCTGCGGTCCAGGGTTTGGTGGGGGGGGGGGTATTAGGGTTTAGGGTTTATAGGGTTTATAGGGTTTATAGGGTTTAGGGCTTATAGGGTTTATAGGGCTTATATTGGGGGGGTAAATCGACGGTTGAAGCTGACAGGGCTGAACGATCGGAGAATCTCAACAAAAAGTCACAGGCAAATAGACCTCTAGACCCTGAACCCTAAACCCTCAAACCCTCCATCCCTCCAAAACCCCTGTAAGTGCAGAACCCGACAAATTCGAAATCCTGCGGCCGACACGCCTGGACCCTGAATCTTCTGCTGGCTGCTGCTGCAGCTTCTAGCATTGCTTCTACCACTCCTCCTCCTCCTCCTCCTACTCTTACTCCTACTACTGCTACAACTACAACTACAACTCCTACTCCTACTACTCTACAACAACAAGTACTACTACTCCTACTCCTACTCCTATACTTCCGGTACCAGGATTCCCAATCGAGACTTTGCCGAACTCCCCTATCGAAGCTTTTGCGGGTTCTTGCAGTGTCGTTCGCACCGAAGGCTAGTCAGACCCCAAAACCCTCAACCCCAAATCCTAAACCCTATACCAAATTACTAAACCCTATAAATCCTAAACTACTAAACCCTAAACCCTAAATCCTGAACCTTAAACCCTGAACCCTAAATCCTGAACCCTAAACCCTACCTTCAATAGTCTAAGAGTCTCAAGCTCCAAAGCCTAAGCCCATGGCCCCCTCCACATCCCACCCTGCAAAAGCACCTCGGCTAGATCGGTTTAGGGCTTGGGGGTTTAGGGTATAGGGTTTAGGGGTTAGGGTTTAGGGATTTAGGGTTAGGGTTTAGGGTTTAGGGGTTTAGGGGTTTAGGGCTTTAAGGGTTTAGGGTTTATTGTTTAGGGTGCAGGGTTCAGGGGCTAGGGTTTAGGGGGTAGGGGTTTAGGGTTTAGGGTACCTCACACTTGGCCTGCAACTATATCGAGGACTGGCATCTTGCATGGTGGCCAGCTCCGGATCAATTTGTTTCTCTTGCAGATGTGTGGCTTGTGTGTTTGTGCATTTGCAAGCATTAGCCTGTCTTCGATAGCTAGGTTCTTTTTAACACCGAATGGCTGATGAATTGATACAAGGCTTTTTTGTACACAAAGGGTCTGTATCACCTTTCCACCTCTCTCAGGCAGACTCTTCGAGAAAGGTCTCAACTTATCCATGTTTGAATCACTGCATCTGTTACCCTAAATCAACCCTGAACCCTAAACCCTAAACGGCCCGAGTCTTCTACATCCATCGGAATCCAAGCTGGTATAAAGCAGCGCAAACGGCAGCGGGGAGCTTGTGAGAAGTCAACATCCGTCTTGCGTTGTAGGTCAGACCATGGCCCCTTGCGGCAAACCTTCGAAACAGTGGGTTTCAGGGTGTGGGATTCTGCGGGTTAGGGCGAAAGGCCTAGGATTTGGAGTTTAGGCTAAAGTGTAGGGACAGCTTCTGGTTGTAAGTTTAGGGATATTCCTGGATAGCAAACAGAGCATGGAGCCGCCACGAGAAGGCAATCTCCATCCTTTCTGACCTTGTTTTAATGCTGAAGCCGAGGTGGTAATGATGGTAACCCCCAAGATGCAATGAGCCTCGTGGCACAGGTGGTGCAACAATAATCGAAACTTCAGGTCGCAACCTACTTTTCTCCGTGCTGCCGGTTTGCCCTCTCTTAGGCATAAAGGCGCATGGCCGCGCACTGGTGTAGTTGAAATGCAAGATGCTTCATCTCCAAGCGAGCTTTGCAAGGGCTGCTAGCTCTTGGAGAAAGCGTGGCCAAGGATCGATCAGCAGAAAGTGTCAACCTACCAAATCTGGCTTTCCCTAACTCCCGAACATTCAGGCATCAAAGTGAGCATCCACGAAGCAGATGCCAGAACGTCAGAGAGAAGAGCGGCCTCATATCAACACAAAAGCCCTTAACCTAAAGCCAAAAACAATAAAGCTTATAGGGTTTAGAGAGTTTAGAGCCCTAAAAACCCTGATTAAACTCTAAGCTGAACCTCAGTCGCGGCCGCAAGTCCGGATGACTCAGACCGCCCGTACACCCAGCCGCAGGCGAGCAGCCTTCCAGGAAGGAGAACCCCAAATAACTATCGGGTTTAGGGTCGAAAACCTACCTTTTCATGGCAGTATTCATCAGGAAATCCCAACGCGGAACTCCAAAACCAGGTTCCCCGGTAGCCCTGTAATCATGAGGGTACCCCTTTTTCCTAGTCTCCGGCTTCGATAAGAGACCCTAACATGAAAAAGGCAACACGGTACTACTGGGAAACCTAAACCCTAAACCCTGAGCTACCGGATTGGAGTAGGCAAGTGCAGGTAGAAAGGGCTTCGTCTCTTCGGCCTGGGTTTATGGATTAGGGCTTAGGGTTCAGGGGCTCGGGGTTTTCATGTTCAGGGTTTCGGGCTCAAGGCTTAGAGCGTTTAGGGTTTGGGGGTTTTTGGGCTTAAGGCTTAGAGGGTTTTGCGGGTTTTGGGGGTTTTGGGCTTAAGGCTTTGGGCTTAGAGGGTTTAGGGTTTATAGGGTCTGAGATCCAGGGTTCATGTGCATGCAACAGCCCAGCGACCTCTATTGGATAGTTCTCTAGGATCCTTTTTTTAGACTCCTGAAACCTGCAACACCTACCATGTCATTCCTTCTAGTAGCTGTCGGAGTTACCCTAAACCCTAAACCCAACCCTAAGCGTTTAGTCTACATTAGGCTCCCTTTCAGGGTCCCTTTTTTATATGGGTGCCGTACTATACTGGGGACCTAAAAGAGGGACCCTAATTTAGAGAACTACTCTATTGACACACTATGTAGGGACGAAAGGAGAGTAGTACTACTAATCACCAATAACCCCTTAAGACACCACAAGATGAATCAATCAAGCCTTACATGAATAGGGCAAATTGTTGCCGAAAGATCCAACCATACAGCCACAGAACAGAACACAACGCAGCCCAAAAGTAATCTATAACAAGTGTATGCCCAGCTACAGGCCAGTTACACCGCTACGCCTATCATGTACCCGGGCCCCAAAAGCTTCTTCGACAGGAAGGCCCGAACTTACACGCCCCATGTCCCCAAGCACCCTAGATAGAAGCCCTATAAACCCTAAACTTAACCCCTCAACCCTCAACCCTGAACCTTAAACCCTGAAGACCCTAAACCCTGGACCCTAAATCCTAAACCCTCCCCTAAACCCTAAAATCCAAAAAAAACCTGAACCCTAAACCCTAAATCCTCAACCCTCTAGACCAGAACTCTTCGGCCCTAGGGAAAGCTGATCCAACAATGTCGATAGCAACGAAGGAGCCTGAGCCCTAAACCCTAAAGTCCTAGACTCCTGAAACCTGCAACACCTATAAACCCTAAACCCTAAGCGTTTAGGGCCTTTTTGGAAACTTGGGGTTTCGGGTCTTGGTCCCCGGAAGGCCTGGTAAATCTCCTGTTTTAGCTCTGCCAGGCTCTGCTGGAGCTTTTCCTCAGCTTAGGGTTCAGGGTTTAGGGTTTAGGGTTTAGGGTTTGCCGGGGTTTAGGGTTTAGGGTTTAGGGGGCTCAAAAGCTTCTGAGGCTTGGAGCTGATTTAAAAACGGCTTCAAGAAAAAGGCTTCGGGCGGCATCCGATCCTTCCGCTCACCGAGGGGGATGAGCGCCCCCAAAATGACGGAACCGAGATGTAGACCCCGAATAGCTAGGTATCCCTAAACCCTGATTTGCAGAAGATTCCCAAGCCTCAGCCCTAAACCCTAAACCCTTAAACCCCAAACCCTAAACCCTAAACCCTAAAGATGCCGAGGCTCCTTCTGGAGCTGCGTGATCTTCAGCTCTTCCGGGCTGCGGAACTGGTGCCGTCCACGGCTCCAGCGGTCCAGCTTCTCCTCGATCCTGAGACAACGACTGCAGACGACCCCAAGCCGACTGTTGCGATTAGGGCTTAGGCATTTGGGGTTTAAGGCTTTAGGGCTTTAGGGTTCAGGGTTTAGCAACTTAGGGCTTAGAGGTTGGAACATCACATGTTTATAGTGTCACTATCGAGGAGCCTAGGCCTCTATGAGTCCCAGATATACACATGGGGGTACCCTAAACCCCTAAACCCTAAACCCAAACCCTAAACCATAAACCGAGCTCTCAGCTGTGTCTCGGTTGCAGCCGCGGCACGGCTTCAATGCCTGCTCAAGCTTCTTCTCTTGCGGCGACTTCTTTGTATCCGTCTGGCAAGTGGGGAGGCCTTCCGCTTTGCTTCGGAGCTCTTGTAGCTTCGTGCTGCCAGCTTTGCTGGGCTGCGCCTCCATCTCCGAGAAGAGGAAGCAGCAGGCTGCTTTGGTCTCTGCGGTGAGGCTCTGGGCCGCAGCGAGCTCGCCTTGCAGCCCGCTCCAAGCCAGCTTCCATGCTTCCTGCAAATCCTCGAGGACATCCGATGCTCGAGATTCCAACACTTCCGGCTCCTCGCCGAGGTCTAGCTGCTTGCGGCCACGGCGGCCCGCCAGGAGCACCGGCAGCAGCTCGCCCAAAAACTCCCCCAGACCCAGCAAGCTCAGTTTCTCCAGTTCGTTCCTGCTGGCCCTCTGCTGCAATCTATCGACGAGAAGCTCGGCTTCCATGCTTTTCACATCCTCCTCCAAAGCCTCGACAGGCAAGGAAGCCGAAGAGTCGAACTTGGGGAAGACCCGCACCATGTGCATCCCATGGTCCCGATCATCGATCGCCTTGAATCTCCCCTGGGCTCCGTCTGAAGCATGCCGGTCTTCCTGAAATCCTGCATCTCGGAGGCCCTCCAAGCATGCCTTCCGAAGCTCAATCTTGTACTGCTTCAGGGAATGCTGGCCACATCCCAGGATGAAGGTGTAGACAGCCGGCTGGGGAAGTTCCGCGCTGAAGGCTTGGCGCATCAGGTCCCGCGCCGCCGCGCAAGTGTAGCCATGCAGGTCGTGGGTGTAGGGCGCGTCGGCCTTGGCGATAGACTTGAGGAGGTTGCCGGGGAAGTTCTTGGCCTTGTGGATGTGACCTCAGCTGCATAATGTGGAAGCCTAGCATAATTCCCAGTCTTATTCTTCAGCGTTGCTTATAATGCACTATAATATATACTCCGAAACACAAACTTGGAAGACTTTGATCCTGAGTTGGAATGACGGTATGACCTCCCTTCGACGGTCTGCACCGAACTACGATCCTTTCGGGCGACATCTTGGAGCACTGGGTAAGGGCTCTTGGCGCGGGGGGGGGCACCTAGCAGGAAGAACACGACGTTGAGAATGGCGGTTAACAAGTTGCTGCTGATGAGCCTCATTCGTAAATACAGTGCCGCTTCTGATGATGACCAGGGCGACGATGGTGATGATGATGACAATGATGATGTTCGTGCGGAGCTGATCTTGTGTTGTTGGCGCTGTGGCCATGGTGCTGCTGGTGCTGGTAGTGCTGGCAGTGCTGGCGCTGGATGTGATGTTGCTGGTCCTGCTGGTCCTCGTCCTCCTCCTGCTGATGGTGTTGCTGACCGAGATGTACGCGTGAAGATGGTGGTGATGGCGGTGGCGGTGGCGGTGGCGGTGGCGGTGGTGGTGGTGGTGGTGGTGGTGGCGGCGGCGGCGGCGGCGGCACCGGTGGCGGCGTTGGTGGTTTCAGACCGCCCTCGCCTCAGCTATATGCCCCATGAGA